ATAAATTAATTTTATCACATGTGAGTTATAAATTATATATGTCAAAATTTCTTTTATGGAATCGCATCTGTGGTGATATTTTAGGTAAGAGTAGACATGCATGAGTACGTAAAAGAATAATACTAGTTTAAGAATGTAAAAAAAAAAAAATGTGTATCACAAAGTGTTTAAAGTGCTGTTTTTTTTTTTTTTTTTTTCCTCCAAGCAATGTGAAAAATTAATGTGAATTATGTGTGTATAGTGCATACGAGAGCTCAACTGTGTGCGTGTAATGTGAAATGTTTATATAGTGCTAACGAAATGATAAAGTGCAGTGCCTTTGCAAGTGATATAAAGATTGGTGTGAAATGTGTATGTGATGCTGACGAAAGTTCAAGTGTATCCAGCAGAGAGGCATTTCATTTGTCCAGTGATCATACACTGTCAGGATGACAAATTTTTTTTCTTCGGCCGGAGGGAATGTGAGAACACAGAATTCTCACAGTGAACACGGTGGCTTTATCGATTCTTGAATCGTTATCGCGCCCTGCCACGTGCGTCGCAGTGGATAAAAACTGGAAGGACTGGTTTGTCTCTCTCTCTCTTTCCCTCGTTCCCCGCTTGCTGCCTGACGTCGTGTTAACGCGTGTGTTGGTTTTCGCCACACACACAGCTCTCGCCATCGTCTACTGTAAAACAACCTGTACTCGAGCTGATGTTCCTTCTCATAAGATGGAGGAGAAAATATGTTCTTGTACGAAGATATAAGAATTCAGGTAAACTTTACTGATTAGGCTGCGAGGTAAAAATTGTTCCTGTGCTGTAACTCAACGTGTATAATCCTGACAATTGGATGTTCGAAGTGACGACCACGTGCGCCAATTTCAAGCCTATCTACCAGAAATTTGATCTCTTCTATCACGAGTAGTTGCACTGCATATTAATTAAGCTTCTTGCAAGATGCTGATAAGTAATGTGCCTTTGATGCATCAGGATTAGGAATTGCAATATACCATAAAAAATGAACGCTGTGACAGTCCCGTAGGACTAACAAGTAGGACATGCCGAAGGGCATTCATGAATGTGGTTTTTTTTGTTATAACATATCGAATATAGGCTAATCAAGAAAAGTGTGTTTTCTTGATTAGCCTATATTCGATTTGTATAAAATAATACAATACAAAGTCCGAAATTCAGCGGCAACTCAGAATTTGGGATTTTTCTGGATATTAGATCATCAGTTTAAATCTAGTAAGATGGCATGTAGAAATTACAAGATTAAAAGTATAAAATCGTGATTTATGAAATAATGAAGCATTTATGATCTAAAGAATATAAAAATTTTCCAAAAAATGCTTAATATTTATTTGTTTACTTTATTAAACATTTCTTTCAATGTAAGTTGTTTTTGTTTCTTGTTCAGTTATAAAATTCCATTGTTCAAGTCCTGTAATTGCTGTGTCGAGAATTCTGATTAACTTGTCAATTGAAACTTTTTCATTTTCAGTAACCTCTCTGCCACTTTCTTCACTATCCGTAGCAGTATTTTCTGGATCTAGAACCATACTACAGATTTTTCCATCCATCGATTGATAATTGAGGCATTGTCATCGCAATTAAAAACTTCTGCCATATCATCTTCATTTATTACTGCTTCTTCACATTTCTTTACAAAATCCATTAATTGGAAAATTTAACTTTTGGTTTGTTATATCCATAAACCTTCAAATTTGTGGCTCTCATTTTCACCATGAAATATGGTAGTTGGCCATAAATTATGCCAAGCATTTTTTAAAGTATATGGAGACACATCTTCCCATGATATTGTGATGCTCCACACAGCAGATTTTATGCTAAAATTTTTTGGAAATTCTTGAATAGTCTTGCCATTATTCAAGAAATTTAGCATTGATTTTAAAAATTCTACTTTTTATTTGCATTTCAACACATGTACTATTCCAATGTCCATATGCTGAATGATAGATGTACAATTTGGAGGAGATAATATGGATACCTTATCTTCTGTTAAAACTTTAAGTGAAGTATGAACCAAACAGTTGTCTACAATCAGGACACTTTTTTCATTCATCAGGTAAACCAAGTGAATTTAAATGTTGCTGAGCCTTTGGTATTAAATTATTTTCAAACCAATCGTTTGTTAACATTTGTGTCATCCAAACTCTTTTATTTGCACGATGTGTAACTGGGAAAATCTTTACTCCTTTTAAATGCTGTTTTCCAACTACGAAAGGTTTACACTTGTACGTTTCTGCAGCATTTACGCATGCTAAAATTGTAGACTCACATTGGAATCTTTGACATCAGTTGGAGCCTTGTAGAGGTTGCTAAGGTATTTTGTGGTACATATTGCCAGAAAAGACCAGTTTCATCGGGGTTGTAAATTTGTTCTGGGGAAAACTTTTCACTGTTATAAGTTCAATGAATTTATCTGCAAATAGTTCAGCAGCTTCAGTATCAGCTAAAGCTTTTCTTCCTGAAATTTTTAATTGCCTTTATACCATGGTGGTTTTTATATTAGGTTGTCCAATAGGCTTTATATTAGGTTGTTGAATATGTGCACTCAGTTTTCAGGTCTATTTCTTCATGACATATTTTAGCTTGAACCCGTCAATGACATGCCCTCGCTGTGACGCTGTCTAGCTCATTCAATCATCACTTTGTCATGACCGTTACTTTTAGCATAACGAATAATGTTTCTGTTATTCATTGCGCATGGGGTGTCGGAATCGACAAAAAATTCAAAAAGCTGTTTTTTTCTAGTTTCTTATGTCATATACAGCTGACTTTCCAATGCCATACTCCTCGCATAATTTTGAGAAGGATATATGTCTATCCATGTTTTGCAGCAATTTCACTTTTTGTTTAATGGACATCGAAACATGCTTTTGCTTTGTAGATCCTGTTGCAGCTTCAGAATGAGACACTCTTTTAGACATAATCAAAAGTTAAAACTTTAATTTTCATAAAATTGCTATAATAATAATAGCCTACAAAAAATAATAAGCTAGATCAAATCAAAAAGTCAAAAAACAGCCCAATCTGCTGTATTAACTGAAATTGCTTGGAATCAGTAAAGTATAATTTTAGCCTAGCTTAACCTTTTAACTGTCATGCCCGATATTATCTCGGGCACAGCACTGGTGTTCGAAAATGTCACGCCCGAGTATTTCTCTGGGTAATTTTTTTTTTGAGTGCATCGTATTGTCATACCCGAATATATATCGGGAGATGTTTATTTCGGCTACATTTGGTTTTTCCAATAAAAAAATTTGACAATTTGTGTACCCAAATCATCAAAATAACTTGACAGTTAAAGGGTTAATAGCATCCAATATACATTATAATTATTGGCTATGTATTATGAGATTGGCAACGAAAGACAAGTTGTTTTGCTAAATTTTGTCTTGCTTCTATTGCGCACCAAGACAATTAGGCCGGAATTGTATTAGTTTAGTTATTTATTATACTTATGCCTATTTCTTGCACATGTTTAAGGCTTATCTGAGTCCTGAATAAATCAATTCCCATATATTAAGGCTTATTGAGGGCCAGCAGTAAGTATTTTACCACCTCATGCAATCTCTATGGATCCTAAATTCTGCTACTAAGCACCTCCCTAAGTTCTAAATTTTTGCTGCCCCAAAATTCTAAAAATTTTGTGTGGTTCTTCTCTAAATTCTAAAAATTTTATCTTCTCTACATTCTGCTGCCCCATTTGGCCATATGAGCTCTGGCACCGATTCTGGGTTTATGTGAATAACAAATCCGTTATTCTTAATTCAAATAGCGCAAAATGTAATCTATGAATATCATTAACAAAATCTATTTCTAGCATATAAAAAGGAATTTTTGTTTAGTATTTCCTCATTATTTCTTAGCATATATCACTTAAATCTGTAATAATTGCCAAGCATAAAGTCAACATTAAAAAAAAGGTTACCATACTCTTTTATTCAATTACTTATATAAAAAAAATTGTTTAGGCATCGCTGCAGTGTTGATAAATATGCAGTGATGAAAGCAAAATATAATAAATGATTTACCAGGTTGGCATCATGGATATAAAATAATAGAAGTTGTAAAATCAATGATGTTTCTATATAGAATGTTTCGGTTTGAGATGTATACCAAGCAGACATACGGCTCTGAAGCCAAATTATTGATAACACAAAGTTTTGCTAAAATAGTTATTCCTTCAATAACGAGGTTTATTTAGTGCTGAAGTGAAATTAAGAATCGAGACTTTATACATGCTATATTATAGGTGGGGGAAAAAAAATCAAATGCGCATGTGTAAAGCATACAAAAAAAAAAAAAAAAATCCTATTGAAAATTTTTTTTAAAAAAGTGGTTTTTGGTGTCTTTGAGATCCATATTTTAGATCATTCCAGATATTGGACATCCGGATCCTTGACTTTGTACTGTATAGTCCGTTTTATAAAATCACATACAATTGAAGCTTTTGTTACCAGGTGCTTTATCAGCTATTATATAGAGACCACGACTTTTATCCTTTAAATGGGAATATTTGATTTCCTATTTTGAGGTCTTATGGGATTCAGTAACTGTCCATTAATGCACACCATCTATTAACAGAAGCTGGACTGTATTTAAATTGCATTGCAGTATATTAGCTAATTAAATGAATTTGTCCGATATAAAACTGGTAACAAACATATTTTGTTGATCCTTTGAATAGAACAACTTTTTATGTGTTTTTTGTTTATTTCTTACTACTTGGTCTACATACTAGTACAATTTCAGTTTTTAAATCATTTATAAATTATTCTTGTCAGTAAATTGTGAAGGTAAATATAAAACTAAACTATCATTTGGAACATGACTGTCTGAAAAAGCAGTGTATATATAAGATGTTTTGGGTGTTTTTAACAAATACTGCTATTTGATGGTTAATGTCTAACTTTCTTTTAACTTTTAGTTTAACTTTCTTTATTTAATTCATTTCTTTACTTAATTAGGTGCTTTCTGTACTTAATTAGGATATTCTATATTTATTGTGGATGGGAAATTACCAGAATGTAGTGCAGACAGAATTTTGCGTCTTCAGCCTGCAGTACAGACAGAAAAACCTTGTTTATTATCTGAGGTGAAAGGAATGATGAACACAAGCTTGGAAGGGGAAGAAGACAGAACTTTACGTGAAACCTTAAAATATACTCTGGATGAATCTCTTCAACTTGAAGATGATTGTTTACAAGCTGCATTAACCCTGAGCTTAAATGGTAAGCTTGTAAAATTTTTAAAATGTTGGATATAAATAAAGAGATTATCTAATATTAATTCCTCCCCCCCCCTTTTTCCTTTTTTTTTTTTTTTTTTTTTTTTTTTTTTTTTTTTTTTGGTCTTTTTAATAAGTATAGTAAAACTTCAAATATCCGAACTGATTGAGACCACTGCTCATAATGATACACTATATATGAAGGCATCCTCATTTGAATGTAGATTTGGCTATCATGATCTAAAATATCATTGAACATAATAAAAGTATTGTAGCAGGTTCAGGTGGAAATGTAGTGGGACACCCAATGTTTACTGTAAGTAATGTAGGTATAGTCCCACTACACATTAGTTTATTTATAAAGTTAATATTCAAATATATTATTATAAAGTATTGTAGCATCTGATTTCAAGAGTATCAGTATTCTTATTCCTGAGAACCTCTGTGAATGAGAGTAGAGGAGAATGTAATGAAACTGCGTAAATGGCGCATAGCTGCTATCTTATGAGTTAGTTAGAAATAAATGTTTGTGCCGTGAACTAGTCTTATGGTTGTGTCATGCACTTTGTCATGCGTCCCACACCGCAAGACACAACAAATTGGCAATGAGGTGTGTGAGAAGAAAATCTATCGTTCCCGACTCGCGCACTCGGTTACATGCGTAAGTAGTAGCAAAACCGAAACTTGGATTAGGGGATTCCCCGAAAACTGCAAAAGGTAGGAAAGTTATTTGATTTTTATTTTGAAAAGATGGAGAAGTTAATTGAATTAATAAAGCAGAATGAAGCTTTAATGGTTGCATTGCAAGAGAAATTGGAACATAAACAAACCAAAATTTCTGTTTATTTTGATAAGTTCGATGAAACAGTAGAAAATTTTGATTCGTTCATAGAACGATTTGAGGCTTTTTTGGACATTCAAAATGTTCTAGAGGCAAAACGTGGAAAAGTTCTGATCTCAAGCTTGAATGCGAAATTGTATAATTTGTTGAAATTTTACTCTCTCCAGATAATCCTTCAGATAAAAATTTTACCAAACTAAAAAAGGTTTTTAATGATCATTTAAATCCTAAAGCTTTAATAATACCTATTCGACACATGTTTATTAATAGAAAACAGCATGAAGGGGAATCAATTAATAGTTATGTCACTGAATTATGCTCGTTAACAATTCCTTGTGAATAAAAAGAGGATATGCTAAATACAATGTTAAGATGTGTTTTCGTTAGTGGTCTACAAGATCGTAATATCTTATATCGATTATTTCAGGAAGATGTTATTGATTTAGAGAAAACATTAAACATAGCCTTGGCGATGGAAAAGGCGGTTAAGGGGGCAAATGAAATTATAACTTGTTCGCGTTGCTTAGGAGCAAATCACAATAAAAACAACTGCAGATTTGCAATAAGTGAATGCCGCTTTTGTAAAATAATTGGACATATCGAAAGGGTGCGTTATTTGTCTAGGCTACCAAAAATTGTTGCGTATGTACGGGTTCGCTGGAATTGAATGCACAAGTCCGATTAAAAATGAACAAAATTTATTATTATTATAACAAAAATGCTTAAATGTAATCAGATATTCATTCAGTATTACAATATCTCACAGTAGTTATCTTGTAACTACTCAAACATTCAAGAGAACTTAATTCAAAACAGCTACAGAAAGCTAATCCGCGAATTCGCTACAGTCAACAAGAGCAGTTTTCTGAACAAACTTTTAAATACCAGATCCGTAACACTGCCCCCTTCCCAAGGACTGCACGTCCCGGGCAGTACAATCCCTGGACAGGAAGCCAAACTTACAACTAAGGCATAAATGTAATAATAAACATTACATTACAATAATAAACAACATGAATAATAAATGCAATAAATAAAACAAATCAATTGCTATCAAATACTAAATACACATTTTGAAACAAAAAGGACCATGGTCTTGCACTATTTACAATTATTTACACTAGGTACTATGGCCATAGTAATGAGCTAATCTGTCATAATGAACGACTTTAGGTTTAGAGTTCGAAGACTTACGGATCTGAACCATGAGGTCATTCAGCCTGTTTAGGACTGTGTACGGATCATCCCAAGATGACTGTGATTTCGGACAGAGTCCTTTTCGTCGAATTGGGTTCCACAGCCACACCTTGTCTCCTTCTTTGAATCCGTGTCCAGTAGCTCCTGTGTCGAATCTGCTCCTCACTTTCTCCTTCGCCAAGTTGACTTGCTTTTGTGCGGAACGGCGCATCTCTTCAAACTGGGCCTGGACATTTGGATGTATTCCTCAGGCAATGAAGGTGCAACCGTAGGGCGACCGAACAGGCGGTCACAAGGTCTGAACCGAAGAGCATCTGGGATGGAGAATAGCTGGTAGTCTTGCGTTATTTTTTGACCCTAGTATGATTTCGGCAGCTTTCTGAGCTGGGTCTTTCGGACAAGGCGTCGGCATTTACAGGTGAGGATCCCTTCTGAGGATGGATAGTCATGTCCTCAGATTCTGAAAGCAGTGTGTTGTTTTTGAAGTCCAAGGAAAAATTGTATTTCCTTAAAAAGTCCAGTCCGAGTATGCATGGATCTGTAATATCCGCCATATATGCTGTGTGATGGTAGGCGGCACTTCCAAACATGATGTTTACGTTTAACTTCCCAGCTATGTCGATCTTGTCACCACACACAGTCTGAAGGGTAACAGAGGATGGCGTCAAAGTTTATCTTTAAACTGTTCAGCTAAGTCTTTTCGAATGATGGTGACATTAGCTCCTTTGTCAATGATCATATTGCAAGAAACTCCATCGACATGCCCATTGATGGACAGACCGTTACTGTTGCCACTCACTGTAGAAATCTTGAGCGGCTTTAAAACAAGGTCTTTTTATTATCTGGCACTTCCGTTCCTTCACATGGTCACTTAATTTGTTTTCTGCGTTCGTTGCTGAGAAATGGTCTCAATTTCTGTGTTCCCTGGGGTGTTTTGCAGTTCTTTCGTACGTGGGCCTATCAGTTTCCACAGTTCCAGCACTTTGGTTTCTTGTCAATCCTTTTCTGTCCCATGGCATTTAATTGTCTATTTAACCCGCCTCTCTTATTTTCCGTGCTTTGGGGTGTTCTGCAGTTCCATCGTATGTGGCCTTCAGCACTGCAGTTCCAGCACTTTAGGGTTGGTTTCTTCTCACCAGTATTCCATCTCAAGGCATTCACTGGTCTTATCAAATCATCCATTTTGTTATCCGTGCCTTGGGGTGTTCTGCAATGCCGTCGTATATGCCCTTCAATACCACATTTCCAACACCTTAGAGCCACTTTGTTCTCACTCCTACTCCGTATCAAAGCATTGACTTCTCTAGCTAAATCATCTAAACGAGCCATCAATTGATCCACTGGCTCGTGGACTCGCACAGCTCTGACTGTGTAGCGGTCTCTACGAGTTGCTTGCTGAGCTGCCTCGAATTTCACGGTGTACAACAGAGAACTTTTTATGTCCTACACATCCGCCATTCGCAGAGCTTTCTGTATTTCGGGATCCCAGATGCCGTCGATGAAATATTGCAGGAACAGGATTTCCCTTGTTTCTGTAGAGCACTACGAAAAGATGAGATGGGACGGCCTTTCAACATCTGTGGCGAGCTCCTGAAGTGTTTTGGTAGGCTTCTGTTGACGAGGTTTTAATTGAAGCCTGCTGTAGTCTTTTAAACATTTCTTGCTAAAGCGCAACTGCAATGCGCCGGATAGAGCTTTGAAGTCAAGTCTTTGGTTTTCGGGAAGCGTCTGCAGGATATCCCCTGCATCTGCTCTCAGAGAAGCGGCGATATGACAGGCCTTAGCCTGGGGATCCCGTCTATTTGCTTTGGCCACTATAGAAAACTGTGTCTTGTATACTTTCCAAGAGGTCTTCCCATCATATGTCGATAGCTTCAGAGAGGGACGAGCAGGCATGGGTAAACATTTAAAACTATCAGAATTGCTCCCTGCCGTCGTTACTATCTTCTTTAAAGTATCGACTTCTTTCTCAACGTCTGAACCTGTTTTGTTGTTCGACGGCAGAAAGTCTCTCCTCTATATGTTCTTTTGCCGAAGAAATGCTTTCTTCTATTTGTGCAACTTTAGTTTCAACAGTGTCAATTCTGCCTTCCATAGCCTCAAATGTGTTTTCTATTATACAAGTAATCTCTTTTTTTCCTCTTGACCTATTTTCACTTCCTCTTTAACAGCTCTCATCTCTGCTTTAAAAGAGGCAAAGGCTGATATCAACTGCCTTAACTGTTCTTCCATCACTCTTGTTATTGGCATTCAAACCCCACTCCTGACACCATATGGTTAGTTAGAAATAAATGTTTGTGTTATTTGTCTAGGAAAAATTGACAGGTTAAACAAAAGAAGGTTGAGGCAAATAATGATTATGATTCGAAAAATGAGGTCCCCATCTATGGATTTAGCTCCAGAACGCACATGTTAAGAGAGGAAGAGCCGAAAAGATCGCCAATAATGGTTCAAGTTAAACTTGAAAACAAACCAGTTAGCATGGAACTTGATACTGGGGAAACAGTTTCGGTAATGTCTGTAAATAAATTTAGAAAAATTTCCAATAAAAAGGTTCAGCCTACAAATTTAGTTTTTAAAACTTACAGGGGTGATAAGGTGGTTCCTTTAGGATACGTTCCTGTTAAAGTTGAATACTAAGGTCAAAAATTAGTTTTAAATTAGCTTTAAATTGTGAAGGAAAATTTGGACACAAACTTCGGCCAAGAATGTCTGTATAAAATCAATCTTGATTGGAATGCCATCAAAACATTGAAAACTTCTAGTGAATTGAATTTAAAAAAATTGCTTGAGGAGTATAAGGAAATCTTTGACGGTAAATTAGGTGAAATTAACAATCATAAAGTAAAACTACATTTAAAACCTAATGCTCAACCAATATTTTGTAGGTCACGACCAGTACCTTTCGCATTAAAAAATAGAGTTGAATCCAGTGGTGGCTCGTGGGTAAAATTAGTGGGAGTGCT